AAGCCATCTGTTTTGATTGGCTAGATTTCATGTTATGATTCAGGATTAAGAAGAAAGGCTGTTCAGTGCCACAGGTCTCCAATCAGGTATCCTAACTAGTATTAAATGACAAGAGGAAAATGAACGGGAGGGACCCATCCAAAACAGCAAAACACTAAGGTTGTGAATGAGTTAAGACACTGCATGGAAACAGGGTACAAATGAACTCTCCCTCCTGGTGCCCACGCATTGAATCTGAGACTGGGAACCTAGAATGCCTATTACGCTCCATCTGATGTATAAGAAGCCTGGGAAATTCAGTGGTGACAGAGGTTATTGCATCATATGCTGACGGTAGATTTTAAACAGAGCTGAATAATTTTATGCCTATTAGTAATGCCTGTAGATTTGCAGGCTCAGATAACGAGAGGGCAGATGCTTGATTACCCTATAAATTGGGTGAGGCATAACTATTACGTAACACCTGCACTCACAGCTCTTCAATAGCTTCCTACTCACTTCCGGCTGCTATTCAGGGAGATGGTGATCACTCTTAAGCCCTAAGTGATCAGAGACCACCACTCATCCTACACCCCCTCGATCTGTGTGGCATGTGGCTTTCTGGCATAATGAGGGAAGCCTTGGTTTCTTGCATAACTGAAACCATGGGGTTTGGGAACTGTGCTGCAGTGTTACATCATCACAAACAAAAAATGTGACAAACATATAGATTGTCAAGCCACCTCCATGCTTTATGAAAATTAGCTTATGTATCATGAATATCAGATTGTCAAGCCACCCCCATGCTTTATGAAAATTAGCTTATGTATCATGAATATGCATAACTCAAAGATGCTTTAGCCAAAATGCATCCTGACACATATCATTTTTAAAGTTACAATCTGCTGAATGTGTATACTGTATTCTATTTCTGTGCATGTATCATTAGAAATATGAAATGTAGACCCATTTTATTAATCTACGTAAGGAACTTAATGAGCCAGTAACCTAGACCAGTGTTTCTCAGCCTTTTTTTATGAAGTATCCCTTTAAAAAAATTATAAGTACACCCTTTTTAAGAAAAAAAAAACTGTATAAGTACCCCCAGTACCTAGTTGTTAGACACGTGCAATTTTTCTTCTACCATTGCAACACATTTGTTTAAACAACTTAATCGTAGCCAGGTAGGCGATGAAATTTTTGGTGTAAAAAGTACAAAAATAATAAAGCGCTGTAAAATTTAAAACAAAAATTCCGTTTTCTCTAAGTTTCAGTTGTGTTGACATTTCTCTCGAGTACCCCTAAGGATACTCGTACCAGTGGTTGAGAAACATTGACCTGGACAATGATCTGTAAACAGGGGCACCGTCCATATAGGTGAACTAGGCGGTCGCCTAGGGCGCCAAGTTAAATGAGGCGCCAAATGGTGGCGCAATATCATTGAGGGGTTTGGAGGTGGGGGCGCCGACTGCATGGTTCGCCTAGGGCGCCAGTTGCTGGCAGCTAGTCTAGGGCCGCCCTTGTCTGTAAATGGGTTTTTCTCTCTTGTAAGGCCAAACTGTGATAGATCCTACAAATAAATGTGGCCCAGACATCTGATGCTGGAACCCATTTTGGATCTGGTACTTTTCCACTCCAGGTGAGAAAACCTTGAACTGAACACAACGAATTCCCACTTTGGGCAAAGAGAAGAGAAAGGAAGGAAACCAAACAATAGAGGTGATTGCCAGATGCCAGGAAACCGTCCCACTAATCACCCAGATGTCTGCTGGAGACATCAAGACTGAACAGGAGAAAGGATTGGGCCCACACTAAAGGCTGCCTAGCTTGAAAAAGAGATTATTAGAACAACTGTTAGGATAAAAAATTGCATGTAACAAGTTTCTTAGTACAGTAAACTTCCAATAATACGGCACCTTTAGGACCCAGGGGGTGCCGGATTATCAGATATGCCGGCCTATCAGAAGGGGGGGGGCTATGAGGGGTCTGGAGTGGGGTGGGAGGGGATGCCACCCCAGACCCCTCATAGCCCCCCCTTATGATAGTCAGGCTCTGCCCCAGGAGTCCCTGATTCAGCCGCTGCTGGTCAGTTTGAGCAGCAGCTGAATCGGGGATGCCTGCAATAGAGCAGCTGGGGTGCTGCCAGGTTGGTCCCATAGTGCTGCCCCTCGGGGCTGCGGGACCAACCCGGCAGCACCCCAGCTGTCCCCATTCAGATGCTGCTGAAACCGACCAGTGGCTGGCTCCCCCAAG